GCATAAGAAGAGAAAGGAAGAGACAGTGCCTGCTAGGTTTAGGAAGCACAGGATGAAAAGAAGGCTGAGGATCACTCACTGTGTAGAAACCAGAGAATGACTCCAAGATGGCACTGGCCATGAGGATGCGGGAGTAGTACCATTAGGTGTCTGTGTCGGGGGAGAGGCGACCAGAATCAAAGCTACCTTGTTTTCTGAAGTCCAGAGCTGTTAGGAGAACTGTCTAATTTTCCATTCCCAGCAAGGATGTGGAAATTTAGCCAGGAGTGAGAGGGGGAAAGGGGGATTCAAGAACCTTGGATCTAGGGAATTAAGAAAAAAGGAAGCTGTCCCAGAAAGCAATTTGAAATTGACCTGGGCCACATAGGATCTCAGACACAGCTTCAGAACAAAGATGGCCACTTTTGAGAAAGAGATCTGATTCTTCATTTCAGTTGATGCCAAATTTACCCAAATAGAGATGATATCTTCCACCCCCACCACTCCCAACCATAGACAGGGATTCATCCCAGAACCACTGCCCTTGGTGTTAGATATCTTCAGTAAGCCAGAGAATGTGAAAACTTTTGTAGGCTGGAAAATGATTGTGTTTACTCTGAATTAACTAAGATTTGTGTTTCTTGCCATCTGTCCTGTACATTAATAATACAGAGAAAAACTCAGTCAAAGAAGCTTCCCTTTCTCATACTCCAATATAAATAGTTTTGGGAAACTGCATGCCATCCTTGTCCAGCCCATCAATAACATCTGCACATTTCTGTCATGGAGTGAAGGTGGACACACTGCATGGTAGCGCTCACTCAGGGTGGATGATTGGAGAGTGAAGTGCTAGTTCTGCATAGCTGAAATAAGCAGGAAAGAATCAGACTTTTAACAAAAGTGATTTTAATAAAAATCACTCTACTGAGCAAAACTCGTAGGAATTCCTTTAGGAACAGCATGGTACTCAACTGTAAATATTCAAGCAAACATAATGAGTAAAACCAGGTGGAAAAAAATAAAAAATGCATGACATAAATGCAAATTGTGGGAACTACATTAGAAGTTCAGGAAGTTAAGTCTCCTGGATTCCAGGAAAGACATCATGGACTCTCCTGGGTTCCATGGCAGGAGGGGAGACCAGCAAACCTTAGAGAGGTATGATGGGTGAAGAGGGGGAGTTTAGGGAAGCAGGCAGAAGGGCAAAGAGGGGACAAAATGACAGTCACAGGTGAAAATGCTGGTACACAGTGGGTAGAACAAGGTCTTAGAAATGCATTGTCAACCTCAATGTAATGAAAACAAGTATTCTATACTTAAGCTTCTTAAATTGAGCTTTTTCTAAAGCATAGTGTGAGATAATTGGGATATAGTTGAGCTAAAATTTTCTTTTATTATATTAATGGAGGAAGGGTATGTTGCAAAAATTAACAGTAAGACAGCACAGCAGGGAGGGTGTACAAACATGGGAACACACTGTGTCCAATCACCCCCAAGCATTTAGAAGCAACAATTTACATACAAACAATAGTTAGACTAATTGCATATCCTTTGTAACTATCCATTAAAGGAATTTCAATGAAAGATCATCATTAGGTAGTATTTAGCAGTCTTGGTTCATGTTTTTCTTCTCACCTAGATGTAATAAGACTGAGTTTCATTTGCATTTTGCTACAATTTAGGTAATTTACAAATTCAGATAGGTCTCCCACCCAGTTAATTTTAATTGAGTTTCTCATCACCATGAATCAGAGATTCAGAAAATATTGCTAGCAAATTCACTAGCAAAATTAAAGATTTTTTTGTGTGAAGAAGTTCATCTTGTCTTCAATTTGGACAGCCTCATGTACTTTTAGATGAGCTGGGTTCCATCCTCCTTGAAAACTTCTAGTAGTTTCTCAAAGCCCTTGTAATTCCTTAATGCTGGTGGCTGGGAAATGAGGAGGTAAATTGGATAGGACTTGAAGGTAGAAGAGGTCAGCAGCTGTGAAGGAGACAATGACTCAGTTAAGAGCCCTGTGACTGTGAACCCATAGTCACAAGGGGTGAATCGTACAGTGCCATTGTAGAGAACATGGCGGTGAACTCACCCCAACCTCCTGTCTGATCTCCTAGAAACTTGAATTTGGGATGGAGATGGGAGGAAGAAGGCTCTAGCTTATGAAGCATGATCCAGAGACATATAGACAGGGATGTCTTATCTCCTATCAAGAGAATTTTAGGGTGAGAAAGGAGGAACTAGGTGCTAGGTAGAATCTATGATAGCAGCCTTACTATCCACATCCCTGGGTTCTGAGACTAGATAAGGCTGTGTTGTGGTGGGAAGCGACTCCTGAGGGCTGTACTCGGTTCTGGGGCCAGCCTGCCCTGCCACAGTAAATTTAGTAGTCCACTGGGATCTATAACTTACTGGTCCTATTGACTTTGAAGTGGGAACAGGGATGAGTTGAATGTGGTTGAAGAGAGAGGGAGAGAGTCCTTGGTGAGTAAAGCAGTTAGACACCATGCAGGACTATATGTTTCCCCTGATTTTTATCATGGAGAAAGCAAGCTTTCTGTTGCCCATACTGGCAAAATGTTGGCAGTGGACAGAAAAAGAACACCACACTTTGCTTACGCAGTAAATGTTTACTGAACATGTCTAGCATGGTCCTGGATCCCAGAGAGTATATGAAATCAATGCAAGGTAGGTCTTTCATTCATGATGCTCCGTGACTGTTAACACATCCACTCAGCCGGGATAGAAACACCAGTTTAAGACAGATTCAGACCATAACCTGCTGGGATGAGTCAAGGAGGGCTTCATGGAGGAAGCAGCCCTCACTGAACCTTAAAGAAGGAGTATAATTAACATAGAATGGAAGGTAGTTTCAATGGAAATTCACAGTGGTTTATGGGAATTACATGAGATCTCCACAGAGGTCAGACAGCAAAATTCTGGGCACCAAGAAAATCCACAGCAAGTGAAACTAATCACTCCTGCTGTAGCTATTATTTCTGCTACTTTCATGGCTATCACCATGTCTATTTTTGTGCTATTTTCACTGATTTTTGTGCAGGTGACAGGAATTAAAGGGACATAGGAACGGGGCACAGTTTTGACATTCTTCTCAAGTCTGTGGGACAAAAGGAATCACAGTAACCAGGAGCAGGCAGCAGAACGATTTCTGTGTCAAGAGTGTATCAAAACTGCTTTTGCTCAGACACACCAAAATATTTAAGCTAGGCTCCCATAGATGCCACCCCTGATTTCTGTGTCCCTAAAGCTCAGTGCTCTAGAGGATGAATACATCTCTCAAAAATGAAGCAGAACAGTCCAAGCTCCCGCCTAGACATAATTCCTCTCTCTGCTTCTTTCTTTAAGTGTTTTGGCCACAGATGTGTTAGCAGGAATGAAATGCAGGAGATGTATTCTCTTTAGTGCCTGCAGATGATGATGCTGGGACCAAGTGGGAACACCAGCAGCAAGTGAGTAGGATTTGTTCTTACATTCAAAACATCTTCTCACATGCTACATTAAAAAATGTTAAATAAGATTTGCGCTGAGAGTGATTATTGCCCAAGTTTCAGAACAACTCCCTTATTGCTGATTATTATCCTTTTCACAAAGGCCAGCCTCTTCATTCTGTTTGTTGTCATGTTCTCTAAATATCAAAGCCTTCAGAGACGGTGTCACTAGTGGAGTCGGGAGCTTCCTGGGTGTACCACACCTGCCAAGATAGAATATCTGTGTGTGGAGGCTGATTTCGTAAAAGGGATTATTCAGTCAATAGTTAAGTGGTAACAAACTCCAATTTCACTTTCTGTGCTGCGGGAGTTGAGCAGCTGGGCTGTGTATGTGAATGCATTCGGATGTGACTCCATGGGACTGGATCCCCTGCAGCCAGTGTAAGTGATTTGTTCAGGATCTGCACTGCCACAGGGTCTCTTTTCCCATGAATAGGAAGCTGACTCCTTGGACAGTTCCCCACTGAAAGTTTTATTCTGAGTATTCACAAAGAAGTGAAATTCTAGTAGAGAGAAGGTTGTTATAGTAATTCTACCTCTTTTTGTAAAAGTCAGATCATTTCAAGAACACCCAGAGGATTAAAAACAACATTACTGACAACAAAGTAACAATAAGAATTTTCCTTGAGGCATTTTTCTTTCTAGTGTAAAGGACCAGTTTGAGACCTGTGAGTTATTGCAAGGACTAAACATAATGTCAGGCAGGCAGCACGTAAAATAACCCACAAGCCAGCATTCAGACATAAGAGGCAGGAAACTTTTGTTTTCTAGGGACATGATTTCTCTCTGTCCACAAGATTTTTTTTTTCCAAAGGAGAGAACAGTATTATCTTAATGGTGATCTTTTCCTCAATGTGAGCCTTGGATACTCTGAAGGTGAAAGGCATCAAACTGATTCTTTCATGTGTCTGGGTAGCAACTTGTTGCAAACAGGGACACCACCAACTAGAGTCCAAGAATCTATTTCTCATGCATGTTCAAGGAGAAGGATCAACAAAGGCAGTGTAATCCTCCTATCTCACTAGGCATGATCTTTCTAGTGGCACCCATTTCTGCCCTGGGGAATATGGGCTTTCTGCACCTCTAATGCTCCTAGCAAAAAGACTCATAGCTCTGACAGTGAGCACACATATACTAGAAATGTCTATTTTTGACAATTTCAATATTTCTACTAGAAGCAGACATCTCAAGCACTGCTATAGAATTAGTTAAAAGTGCTTTCACCTAATGAAAACAGGAAAGTAAAAAAATCTTCCACTTACAAACGTTACTTACGATTCACAAGTTTTCATCAGCAGAAGAAAATACACCAGTATACATTAAAAACAATCAATAATTCAGATCTTGGAACACTATGAAAATCATTGTTTAAAACTATCATTTCTTTTACTCCTTTTAGAAAAGAAATAAACAATGGCCATTCACAGTACTGGCTAATACTTTCACTGCCCTCCTAAGTTCCACCTGTCCCATAATTTAAAGTCAACATTCAGCATGGAATCTGGAACACTTACCTTAAAGGAGGAGTAGACAGAGCCCCACTCCTCTCCCTCGGCCACTTCAGTGAAAGTCACCGTTTCAGTGCAAGCCACTCGGGATGAATCCAGTGTTGTTGGCACGGTCTGGGTGGAATTGGAACTGCCCTCTGTGAGGTTGGCTGGCATGGCTCAGGAGGGGTTGAGGCTTGCTGTCCCTGTCCCTGCAGCCAGGCAAGAGGGTCTAGCTTGCCCCCTGAGAACTGGGCAGCAGCTGCAGCCTGCCACTTCCTCTGATTTCCAAGGCTTTTGGCTGGAGCTCCGCTGAGCAGAGGCACAGAGCCCTCCCTGAGCCCACCTCACTGAAGAGCTCTGCCTGACGACAGGGAGGATCCACGTGCTGCTCTCTCCTCAGCAGCTACAATCCAGGAGCCAGCACAGCCCTTGTCACCCCACAGTCCCACACAGGGCCAGGGCCTCGCCCTGAGGGAAGGGGCAAGCCTCCCACAGCCATGGACATGGTGCCTGGATGGGCCTCCTGCTCTGCTGTGCTTTTCCTAACTTACACAATGGGCTCCCATTCTGTTCCAGCTTCAGTAATTCAGGAATCTGGACTCATCATCAGGTCAATTAATTCAGGTCATGTTTGCACTTCTGAAATCAATCATAATTATACATTTGTTTCTGTTAAGGTTGCTTTCTGACTTACAGTCCTCACCTAGCCATTTACTCAGTAGCCTGCACATTGTTTCAATAGATGGAGGCAAACAGCATATTTGTGTTTCACACCCATGGTTCTGCTTAGGTTTTCAAAGGGTAGTTCTCAAAAAAATGATGTATGTGTATGTGTGTGTATATGTGTGTGTGTGTGTTTGTGTGTGTGTAATCCATGATCCCTCATTGATGTGACCAGGAGGGGCCTGGTGAAATCTTCTCACCTGCTGTGGGCTCACCTTAACTCCTGCCTGGAACAGTACTCAGGGTAAGGGTGGAAAGAAGGTCACTGTAGTATCCTAGACACTATGAAGAGGAGTTAGAATAATAGATGTTCCTGCTTCACAAGCAAACTCATAAAGCATGTTGACCTGTGCCTTGATTTTTCCATTGGATTTCCACAACTCTGGGATGTAGGGAATGAAGGTGACTTTATGTTTTCCTTTTACACTAGGAGAGGCTGGGTGGAAAAGATGAAGTGACTTGCCCAACATCCCACAACCAGAGATGGAAATGAGCTGCTAACCTTTCTCTTCTGAAATTCCTAGACAGTGGTGATTTACTGAAACATAGATGAGTTTACATCAAATCCCAAATGCTTACCAGGACGAGAGGTTAATATGAATACGGTAGCAAGCCAGGTATAAATCATCAGGAACTAAGCTTCTTGTATGACAACCAAGCATAACATTGGAGCACGGACTGTGAAAACACTCTGAGCCAAATAGGCCAGCAGTGGTTTATGGCACATGGTATAGGAGGTAGCAGGTTTAGTGACTATTAAAAAAAAGACAATGGCCCCATGAAATCTCCTAAGCAAACCTTTGCATAATCCATCCCCCTTCTCCCAACAAGAAGAGAACAGTGTGCTACAGAAGGGAAGATACTACATGTGGAATAAAGGAGCAACCATTAGAAGGGGGCTTTCCAGAAAACTGGAGATGTTATCAGTTCTTAGAAAAGGGTCAAAACAAAATAATAAAATAATAACCCAACAGCAAAAGATTCCAACTGGCAAGTATTCCAGCCAACAAATGAACATGGAAAAAATGCTTAAACCTATTAACAGGGAAAAGCAACTTAATAAGAATTTTTACCAATTAGCATAATGAAAATTATGTATGACTACCTGTCCCCCCCAAAGTGTTGAAAGGATTGAGAAAAAAGGGGTGTACATTTTTACTTCTGAAGTGAGTTAGGTGACAGGGTGACTTTGAAGAGCAATTTGACAGTGTCTAGCAGAGTTGCAATTACAGAACCTCTGATGCATTATTCCATTTCTAGAGGCTGGTAATTTTCCATTTCTATCTGGGTTACTTACATGTGTTTGATTTGGGAAATTTTGCTGGATTACACCATTAAAATGTGTGCACTTTTCTGTTTGTGTGTTTTATTTAAAAAATATAAATTTTTTGTGGGAAACCTTTGAGAAAGAGCAGAAGCTAGTTTGGTGTGGATGGGTGGAAAGAGAGAAAATGGCAGTTGTCATAGACAACAGATAAGTGGAGAAAGACCTTTCAGGTTGTATCATTTTCTCTCCACTCATGGTCCAGATCATTGCTTGATCTAAGGTTTCTCAATGAAAACATTCATAGATAAGTACAAGGAGACATGCAAAAGATGCTTTTGCAACATTGTGTAGAAACAGAAGCAATCTAAATATTCAAGTTGACAAAATCAATGAGACATCCTAAAGAGGAAACTGCCCACATGCTTCTTAACTGGGTGAATAATTACCATGGAATGCTATACAGTGATGAGAATGAAAGGTGTAGAGCCAAAAATATCATTAGAGATGAAACTCACTTTGCTTAATATTAAGCAAAGTAATAAGCATATTTGTTATCATTTATATAAAGCATAACTGTGTGCACACACAACGGAATATATTCAACAGTTTGAAGGAATTTTTGTAGACCAGGTGGCAAATGAACATGGTATTAAGGTTATTCTTATGTGTCAGTTTGACTAGTTCACAGGGCACACAAATAGTTGGTCAAACTTTATTCTGAGTGTGTCTATGAGGGTGTTTTTTGAATGGTTAACATTTAAATTAGTAAACAGAGTGAAGCAGCCTCATGTGGATGGCTCTCACCCACCCACTGCCTTGACCTAGGACATTTGTGTTTGTTTTTGCCTTTGAAGTTGAAGTGAAAAATAGCTCTTCTGGGTCTCCAGCCTATTGGTTGTGCTTCTCTAGAGAACCCTGACTGATACACACAGATTTTAGCCCCTCACCTGAACTGCTCCCTAGAGATTGTTCACAGTGAGTGGAACATTGATGAAATACAGAACTTAAGCCATTCAAGCAGCTCCTGGTTTAACCTAAGTGATAAAGATGGGAAACGCTCTGTATTGGTAAGGATGTGGAGGAGGAAGAAGAGCTAACATACACTATGGTGGGGAGGTAAACTGATCAAAGTACTTTGGAAAACTGCTTGGAAATATTATTAAAAGCTGAACACATGTACCCTCTATGACCTAGCAGTTTCACTTCTAGGAAAATACCTATCACAAATGAATGCATATGTTAACCAAAAAAATATAATGGTGATTATAGTGACTCTGTTCGTATTTGCCCCTAACTAGAAATTACTTAAATGTCCACCAACATTAAAGTGAAATAATAAACTGTGGCATATTTTCACAATGGAAAAGATACATTGCTGAGAAGGCTTGATGCTGCGAGGCTGGTAATTCTGTTCTATGACTGGGGTGGTTACTTGAGGGTGCTGCACTTGTGAATATGCCTTGTACTATGTACTCTTACGGTTTCTGCCTTTTTTGTGTAAATGTTTTGCAAGCTGTGGGAAAATCCTGCAGCGGGTAGGGAGGCTGGTTGGGTCATTGTTTGAAAAGGCTTGGAGCAGGAGGTAGAAATGGTGACCTAACATAGACAAAGACTAAGGATCACGAATGGCAGATAAGCTGAGAAAGAACTTTCTAGTTGAGTTGTTTTTTCTTCACATGTTGCCCAGATAGATCCTTGCTTGGCCTGTGATTATAAAAGAGAAGAAAAATAGTAGCAGCAACTGTGGTGCAAGGCCTTGGGGTGAATGTGGATTGAGTTCAACATGCACAGATAGACAGCTGGCCTCTGAGTATTTCTTCTTGTCCCATTTGTATCAGGCTGAAATTGGTGCTTGGCCAGGATTGGGGTCTCATCAGAAGCTCAATGGGGGAAGGATCCACTGTTGGGTTTCTTCAAGCTATTGGCATAATTCATTTCCTTGTGGCTCATATCTTTGAAGCCAGCACAAGAGCAGGATACTGTAGCAAGATAAGTGCACTACTCTTATGCAATCTCATACATTAATTGCATATGTTCTTTTCCTTATTCTCCAAAATAAAGTCACAGATGCATCTTGCTGCCATCCAAAACACCTCTGACTGCTTACTCCACTTCCAACACACCTCCCACGGAATGAGTTGGGAGGAGTTTGCCAAGGGTGGGGCTGAGAACAGGGAGTTTGCTGGGTTGCTGGGTTTGACTGCAGCCAGGGGCACTGTGTACTACTCACTTTTGCCCCAAATCTGGGTGGGTTTGGCATGATTTCCTCCTCACCACTGCCTCCCTTCTCTGATGGGTTCCTTCTCCTATATGCATGCCTGTGGATGTTTCCAGAGCATTGTTCCTAGTCCAAATCCAGGGAACTCTTTGCTTTTCTAAACTGTTTGTGGGAATTAATTTGATATCCAAGGAACTCTCCATTTATCCTGCTGCCCTCTGCTTTCTCCAGCTAAAATGAGATAGTTTGGCCACTTTGAGGAGAAATTGGTCATCACAGCCTGCCTGTGGCACAAGTTCAGTTTTACAGCATAGTGATATTGACTGTTGCTGCCTGAAATCACTGGTAATCTTTTTCACAGATAAGGAAGATGCTGCAACAAGGAGGTTAATTATAGGTTTACTTAGGATTGGCTAGAACAGAGGAGAACAATCCCAATTCCCAGATGAGGAAAATGAGGCTCAGAAAGTTTTAGAACCTTTCTTAACTTTGTACACATCCCAGCACATTTCATCCTTAAACTCAAACTCTGCCTCCAAGATCTGCGCTATTCTCTAACATATAATAAAAATATCACTGGAAACAATCCTGTTGCCCTGCTGCTACCAAAAAAAAAAATGATTACTGGCTAAAGACACTCTTGAGGAAACTGGGTTTCCAAGTCATCCATCACAGTATTCTGGCAGAAAAATCATAAAATTTATTGTTTTCATTGATTTGATGCTTAATCCCTTAATCCAGATCTAAGAAGTATGAAAGAACATCTTGTTCCTTCAAATAAAATAAACCATTGAAATAGGTTTTTTTCCCCTTGACAACATACATATTTCTTATGGTGAAAGTGTTATGTGTCCACTCAGCCTTGTATGACAGCAACACTTCCCAAATAAGCATCTGCTAGCATTCTGCTCTGGATTTGGGTCCCATCTGTGATGGCACCAAGGCCTGTCATTCAGTGAGAAATTCATAATTGATTTCTTTCCATAAATATATGCAACAAGTGCATGGTAGAACACATCAGGATGGCAAGGGACCAGAGGCTACTGGATCATTTTTAAGAGGTGGGATGCTACTCAGGCACAAGATTATAACTGTTTCAGGTAATAATAAAAAGAAATCATTATAGTATTAAAGAAGAAAGAAGTCACAGGATCTTACCATATTCTGGATAAGGGGATTACACAAAGGTGTGAGTTTCA